TGGATAGTTTGTGGGTCAGAAGATAAAAAGTTTGGGAACCACTGATCTACAGTATACCCTCTTCCTCCAYATTCTACATTTATAAAGCTAAATACTGTTATTCGAACAGCATAAAAGTTACAACAAAACAAAACAGCAAACTCTTCTTCAAAGCCTAAATAAAAAGCTAAAATATCACAAAATGTAGACTTCAAAACAATAAAATAAATGAACAAACATGAAAACAATTCAGTCAGWGCTCTGTGACCCTGCTGCTTCTGTCCAAACTGACCTGATCAAATCACTCAGCAGGTCAAGGTTCAAACTCACAGCTGAGTCTGAGAATCATTGATGGGACATTTTTGTACAATAATTCCTCAAACAGACCAAAGCTGGTAAAAATCATCCTTACGTGATTGAAAACATTATTGTTGTTTATTTGAATCGTTGCTGCTTTGTGTGCTGATCTTCACCAGAATAACTTGGTGCTGATGTTGAAGGAATGCTGCGCTCCTATTGGCTGCTGGGCTCCTGTTTAAAGAGCCGCAGTGGCAAATTCAATCAGATCAACTGCAGCCATCCTCCGACACACACAGACACACACAGACACACACAGAGAGGGAGCCGACAGGGGACTATCCATCACAGTGGGATCGTTTGTGCTTCCTCTTTTTTCCCCCCTTCCTTTCACGTGTTTTTCCTGCAGAAAACACTGGAGCTTTCTTTTCCAGCATGAAGGAAAGGAGAAACACGCAGCCGCTGGTGGTCAGATGTAAACTGGTTCTTGTTGGAGACGTTCAATGCGGAAAAACGGCGATGTTGCAAGTGCTGGCGAAGGATTGTTATCCAGAGGTACATCTTCTCTAAAGTCACTTGTGTTTGTATAAGAAGGAATTATAATGCACTCATAGAAAGCTGTTTTTGGGCATTTTATTTTTAAAAAATCAAATAAAATGAGTGTGTTTTATTTTGTAAAAAAAAAAATAGAAAATGTCATGGAAGGATGCATACGCATTTACAAAAAAAACTGTTATTTTTGTTTATGTTGCGTATAAATTAACTACTAAAACTGATTATTTGAGCTTTTCATTGCACGCATAATAAAGATGAACTATCACATTTGAATATTTTTCACCTATTTTTAACCGAACAYGTCCTGCAGCTGCAGCACAATAAATTGGAATCCAAATTTTGATTTCCTTTAATGCACCCAGTGAGTGTTGCATTAAAAGACCTCCAGTGCCTGCGGCTGACTGACACCTTCACCGCTAATGAGAGCGTGTTTTGTGTTAACTGTTCCCCACCACCACGCCATGCAGACCTACGTGCCCACGGTGTTTGAAAACTACACGGCCTGCCTGGAGCTGGACGAGCAGCGCGTGGAGCTCAGTCTGTGGGACACCTCAGGTAACTGATGTTTTTTTTTTTTATGGCTTCTGGTCAGCTGATCTGCCTGCAGCTCAGGAGGATGCACATGCTCAGTGGGACAAATCTTTGAGTTATTGGGCTTCTGGCCCAAATATTTTTTTCTAAGACATGTTCAGTTTGGAATAAAGATTAACACAGCACATGGCTAGAGTACAAATTAAAATGAAAGCTTTCCAGTGTCAAATAAAGTGTTTAAAAATGTCACTAACACATTTTCATTAGATCACTTTCAGGTAAAATGCTAGTTTATAAAATTCCACTTATATGTTCTTTTTACATTTTTATTTAGCCCACTGTACTTACATTTTACTAATTATTATTAAATGGAACATTTAAATATAAAACGTTAGCCAAATGTTAAAGTTTACATTAAGTATTTTGAAATGGAATGCAGCCTTTGTCGTTGATACATGGCTTTTGATATGACATCATCATCCTGCGACAAAARCAACGCTAATGCTGCACTGCTAATGATTTGCTACTAATGATTTGCTACTAATGATTCGCTGCTAATGTTTCCCAAGACATCAAACTTGCAGCTTCGAGCTGCACTTCAAACTGCTGGACCACAGGTACCATCCATAATGACAAAATGACACCTGAATTTCCTCTTGGTGGGATAATAAAGGCTATTCTATTCTATTCTGTTCTATTCTATTCTATTCTATTCTATTCTATTCTATTCTATAATGTTTTCAGTAAGCACATTTTGAATTAGAATTTTAGTGTTTGCTTTTGTTGCAGGATGATGATGTCACAACAACGCTAAAGGATGCATTCCATTCCAAAATTATTCAATGTAAACACTAACATTTAGCTAYGTTTACAATTTAATATTTATATATAGATTTACACATTTAGATTTAGGGTTTAACACGTAAATTGAACATTTAGTAAGTATAAGTAAAAGGTCAGTGGGCTAAATAACATAAAAATGTTAGTGGAACGTTTTAAACTAGGATTTACACACAGAAAGTGAGCTAAAGAATGAAAATGAGTTTGTGACTTTTTTTTACATTTTATTTTACACTTGGCACCTCACGGTTTTGCAACCACTTTATGTTTCACTGAAAACTAGAAACAAAGACAGTGATTATTCCAGTTCACTTGTCATGAAGGATGACTTTGTGCATCATATTTTCATTTACACTTGAAAACAAAGTGCAAAAAAAAAAGAGGTCAACGTGTTTTTGTACCAGATATCCCTGGTGATGTGTTGTTTTAGTGTGCTGAGCGAGCACGAGTCTGCAGCACCTGTTAGATTCCTCTCATCCACTCTGCTAACAAATCTCCAGTGTATGTAGGTTCCTCACCATCCATCTGCAGCTTTATAGGTCACCGTGATGGAGCAGAATGTCCGACTGTGTGCGTGTGTTGTTGGATCTGTGTACATCTGTGTTCAACAAATCCTTTACGTAACAGACCCACTTGTTTGAAAGGTACTGGACACTCATACCCCCACCCCCACCCCCCRCTTTGGCAAAGTGGGAAAAGAAATTGGTCTGGGCCGGTATAATTCCTGCCCCAGACTGAATGTTGGGCTTTTAATCCCAGAATGTGAACCTTTGGGCCGGCCAGCAGGAGTGGGCCTGGTGCCCAGGGATGAAAGGTTCAAGAGAGACGTCCCAGTGAGCAGGAATTGGCCTTTTTTTTTTTTTTTTTTTTTTTTTTGGAGCAGACAGATAAGCGAGAGCAGAGAAACTGAGATGACCTGCATTCTCCTCCATACGCCATCCAGGTCACCCACTCAAAGCCCCACGATTCACTGGATTAAGGCTCTGAATAGGACCACTGCTGGGCCGTCCCTTTAAGCTGACCCAGGATTTGGTCTTTTTGCTTTCTTTTTTTGCAGTAACTTAAGGGTTAATTTGGCACCGCTTGACACAAAAAAGCCAATAACAAGTGCATGCTGAACAGTCCAATACAGATATACTGTATAAAATCATGCAATGTTAAGAAACAAATATGTCACTGTACAAACTGATTTCCTGTTTCTCTGCAAGAACAACATGTGTTCTTGTATTTTATTGATGCCTCCTGCAGGCTCCTTATGGTAAATCACAAAAGCAAAGACAATTTGTTGATCACACTGTACRCCTGGTTTCCACTTTTCTTTGTAATTTATTCTAATTGTGCAGAGTTATGTAGCCCCCCCACCC